GCTGTTAGCCGTTCAGTTACGTATTTCTCTATTTTGTTTGTACCTTTTAAGAGCTAGCAGTTGGTTTGGTACATCATTCTAATTTTTAAATTATCTAGAGTACCACGTTTTAAACAGACAAACTCTTCAATTTAAGGCCTTTTACACGTTAAAAGTAAATCTGGAGTTGATACTTGTGGGAAGAAGTCAAACTGGTATTAAATTTCAAATAATCAGAAAAAGTGAAAAATAAAGATTATAAAAATTACTAAAATATTCTTTCTCGGCAAAATTACGTTTTTTTTTGTTATAAATTAAAAATTAATAACTGTAAAGTAATTTAAATATTCACAAAATATCTATTTTTTTAGAATTTTGTAGAAAAGGTATAATTTTTAAAATATTTTATCTCTTTTTGGAGATATTTATAAACTTTTAAACACATTTATTTTTTCAGTCAAATTTAAAAATTTGATACATGATTCTTTAAAAGTTGTTTATAGTAATATTAAAACATGCAAAATATTTAAAGATGTATTTTTTTATAAACAGCAACATTTAAAAAAAAATTATCAGTAATTTTTTTGTAGTTAGTATACATATTATTTTAAATTTTACTACTATTAACTTAAAAAATAACTAAATGGTCACTTTAAATATTTTAAAAGTATAAAAAAGATTTAATTTTATAAAAATTTATAAATCTATAACTTATAAGTTATAACAAATCAGGTAAATCTATTAACATTTTCAAAAAATTTTGTTTAATTTTACTTTAAAGCTTATATTTTATAGTTTTTACCGTATAACTAAATATTGTAAAAGAAATAATTATAATAATCAAAAGACATCAACAGACCATCTTCATTCAGAGTCATATTTTGTATATAATGTTTAATCACTGAGTTCAAAATGTATCACATCCATTGCAATAATCTACAGAATGAAAAAGTATATTTAACTCCTTCTTATCCTAAATATTTTATAATATACTTTAATTTTATTATAAAATTCTTATTATGTTTAAAATATGTCTAAATAGCTAACAATTTTTTGTAGTGAATAATAATATTGCATAATTATAGAAAACCCATTGGTGTATACGTTTATTAAATGATTTCTTGAAAAATCCAAGAAAATTTCAAAAATGTGTGAAAGAAATTTATTGGTAAACGTTATTTACATCCTGCTGAATGTAGTTAAGTATTTTATACAAACCATAAATTATAATTTAATAATTATTATAGGTAGGTGTGCGATAATAAATTTAATGGCTGCGTAGTTGATCCTATGTATGAGTATAGTAAAAATGATTATAATGAAAGACAACTATATGATCACCAACGTAAAGACAGGTTTATTTATATTAATATAATATTAATAGATTTAAATATTGTTAGTAATCATCACATATAAAACAATAAATGACAGTACCCATAAATATATACAGTTAAACATTGGCATGGGAATGGTATATGACTTTATAATTAAAGTAATTCATTATGGGGCTTGAATACCTAAATAAAAAATAATTAATTGACCTTGTAGACATTTAACTTCTAAGTCACAAAAAAAACAATCTTACTAAATTAAATAGAAATGTACACTATTTTTAAACCTGACATTCACCAACTTGTTAAAAGATGATAATTAAATCGTGTATTTATCTATAATAGTAATTTTTTATATTCATAAAATTTTATTAAATATTGCATTCATGGATTAATTCAAGTATCAAAATATCTCTTTTAGTGTATAATTTATTTAATTTAGTTCATGTATGGTGTATGTATGTACATTGATTTATTATATGTTGGATATTGTTGATATATGTACAAGGCAATTATTTTACAATACTTCAGTTCAATTTTTAAATAAATAATAAATTAATTAAAAATGATATAATTTTATTGTGTTTGATTTTTAATTATTTGATAAAAATTGATTTCATAAACATGAGTTAAAATGAATTTTGAATTTAACAAAATTATCAACAATTTAAAAATTTTAAAGCTGTTTCGTTGATATTACATTTATAGTATATAATTATATTCAAATATAATACGAATGTTCTACGTCAAAGTGTCATCTAATATGAAATATAATAAAAACAAACATTTTTTCTGCAGATTACAAAAAAAAAAAATTAAAATCTTAAAACACAATTATTTATTTCAATAAAATATTAATTTTTTAAAGTTTTTAATTTGAAGCAAAAAAAAAAAACATATACTATGTAAGTACTAAGTAATTTTTTTTTTAAATGTATTTATGATTTATATACCTATTATATTATTAATAAATTACCGCTGAAATGAATTGCATAAAAAATAAATATTTTTATGTTTTATTTTTTAAATTGAATAATTCGATGATTATGACTTACTTATATAATCCATCGTTAAAAACTATTCGTACTTGAACTTAAAGAAATGGATAATTTAAGTCAGCCAAACTGATGTTAATCGTCCTTGGACAAATCGATTGTTTAAAGTTTCTCCGTTATGGTCATATGCAAGATAGTGCACCTAACCCATTCTTAAATAACCGATAAAGTATGTTGTCTGTAATTTGATAAAATGGGGTTATAATTAGGGTATAATATTGGGTCAATTAAAATTATAATAAAGTTTATATTTACCTAACATTGCCAGAAATAATTTACACAATATCTACCTTACAATGCAGTACATCTACATCTATTATGTATACTTATATCCAAAGTAAAGACTGTATAAAAAGCAAATTATGAATAATTAGTATCAATGACACGCAAACGAAAAGTGATAGACAGTACTGAAAATTTGTAAGCTTATTAATAAGAGTTTATCATTCGATTGAACAGTGGTCAGTAAGTAAAAATCCATCTACTTGAAACGATAAATTGTTTGTCGAATTTCAGAGAATTGAATTTTGATTCTTTAACGATTAACGCAACGTAAAATCACTAAATTTTATCATAATATATTTATGTAAGTAGAGTCATTATTTAATGTATTACTTAATTATTAAAATAATTATACGAAACGATGAAATTATTTTCAGTTGGATCTATCCATATTAATACCAACTACCAAGATGAGTTCGTTTGAAGTTCTTGACGTGGCTTTCAATATAAAATTATATAAATTGTTACGGTTTTATGATATATTTGATCCAAAAAGTACAAAGATTTTCGGTTATAACTTTTATCGTGTTACTGGAATTATAATTACCGTATTAACCCAATCATACATATTATTTGGACAGACAGGTTTTTTTATGCCGACGGAAGATACAATAAATTACATAGAGAAATCTATGTTAATTTTTGTCAATTCAATGAATTTTCTAGCTGCAATGAAAACATGTGTATTTATATATAAAGCAAATAACATTTGGGATTTATTTGATGTAACCCGCATAAATTTTCTGAAAAGTGAACAATGTTGTAAATACAGATATAAAATACTAGAAAAAGTTCGTAACAAATCGATAAGACTTACAAATTTTATTGTTGTATTTGCAATAATCTCATTGACTATTTGGATAATATATCCACTAGTTATAAATTTCTTTTTGACGACAACTGGTCCAAACAATCATCAGGGCTATCAAAGTATTCTTTATTTGCGGTACCCGGTGACTACAAATACTTACAATCAATATTATTTTGTTTTTTACACAACCGAAGCGATATTGGCATTTGGTATAATATATTATTCGATATTAGTAGATACTGTTTTAGTATCTTTGTGTTGGATTTTCATAGCTCAGTATGAAATACTTTCGGAGGCATTTGGAAACATTAAATACGATGACAGTAAGTTTGTATTTAAACATTTTCTTCCTTTAGTATTTGTCAATTGCAAATTTATATTAATAATAAATATGAATATAACATAAATATTGTTTTAAGTACTAAGTTAAAACGTTATAACTTATAATAAATTAACTAAAAAAATGATGAGTATATTATATTATACTATTTAGCGTTTTATAATAATTTAACGAAAAAAAGACTCACATAAATCGATCTTTTCTAAATTTTTCTATTATTTTTATTATGATTTATAATATCAGTTATAGAATTTATATAGTATTCACAATGCATATAAAGAGGACGGATTTATTTTTATTTTTTTCTAATGGTTTAAGACACTTCTCAATTAATTATAAATATAATTCATTTACGTATAATAAAAATATTTAGATAATTTTATGTTGCCTATTTTTGTTTTTTTGAGCTATTTTAAAGTGTAAAGTTTTATTTGTATTTAATGTATTTTGTACGTTTTACAGTTTTAGAATAAATAACATACTAATAGACAAGGTATAAACGATATAATTAATAGTAAATATATAATCAATGTATTGGAAATGGTAATGATGAATAAAAAAATTAGAAAAGTTGATTTGTTGTGAATTAAATAAATGAAAATCGATGACTTTCTGAGAAAAATGTATTATAATTTTTAAAATAAATGGTTAATTTGTTTCATAATTATAGGGTATAATAAAGTTAATGGTGACATTTACTGTAGTCCTATGTATACACATTATTAAAATATTATAAATATTTTTGGTTAAAAAATATGAAAAAGGCAACTTAAAAAAAATTTATTTTTGGTCACATAATAATTTGTGTTTTAGTGATTCATAAGAATATTTAATATATTGAATTCAATTATATTTTACTTAATGTTTTTTAACTTACAATATGATTTACAAAACTAAAGTGTTCGATGCTCGACAAGACTTTTTAACAGTCCACCTATTTTTTTTTCTTTTAGAAGAAAAAGATGGTTCCATTAAAGCATATAATGATTTTTTGTCAGTATTAAATGATCAAAGAAGACTTAATTCGTAAGTGTGTAAATCTATTTAGTTATTATTTTGATTTAGTTCTTTATAAAATCAAATTGTAATTATGAATAAAGTAGTGGTTCTATACTTTAAACTTAACAATAACAGTGATATTAATTGACATTTTTGATGAAATTAATACTTTAATGTATGACAAGTAAAATTATACGATCTTTATTGCTTTTTATACTTTACTAGCGATATATTTTTCAATAGCCTACTATGCCAAATTATTGTTAAAACGGTTCGTTACATCGATTATCAAGAAAATCAACCAAAACCACCACAGTGGTATCTTGTTTTTATTGTATTTTAAATTTTGTTTTTCTATTTAGTCTGAGTAATTAACACTTTTTGAAATAATTAGTGTTCTGAATACATGTATTGATTTATTTGAATATTATATTATTTATTTTTATATTAAATCATTATAAAATGAAAATAACATTGAATTACTTAATATTTACTGACACGAATACATATTTATGTTATTTTGTTTACAGAAACTAAACTATATTATTCTATAGTATTATAACTTAACATATGTTGTATTTTGTTCATGTTCAATTAGCATTGACCTCCTTTATTATGGTAATTGTTATTATGGTAAGTTTAATTTAGTATTCAAAATAAATATATATTAATAAAATCCTACGTTATAATTGTTCATTTATTATTTTAATACCTGAACAGCCATGTATCTCAACAGTGAATCTTCACCGCTTTCTTAAAATTAAATCATTACACCAATTATTTGCTTCTATTTCAATTGTTTTATATTGCTATTTTTGGATATAAACTTAAGGTAATTTACTAACATCAATAAAATAAAAGTAATATATTACAGCATCTTTTTAAAAATATAGAAAGAATCAGTTATTTATGAATGTTTTCTTGTGATTGGACTTCGATGGATTTAAAATTTAAAAAGTTACTTTATCAGTATATAGGATGAATGATTGTGATAAATTAATAGCCTATAAAGCTAGAATAAACTAAAATTATTAATTTAGAATTTTTGTTGTTAAGGGTGAGTACCAATCGAATATTTTAGAAATTTTACAAATAACTATTGTTAAAAATTTTATTACACAGATTAATGAATAATGAAAAACGCATTTATATAATTTTAGGTGATGATAACCTTCTAACATTGTGTCTGTAATACTGAATTCAATTAAATTCAACGCCAGTTCAATTAATAATAAAAATATAATTTTCAGTCTTTGCTCAGTTAATTTGTAATCATTGCTGAGTTACAATTCGTTATATGTAAGATCAAATATATATACTTATTCCTGATTGGCAATTAGAAATAATATCTATTAGAATTATTTGTAAAATTGTAACATTTGAGCTTTCTTGCTGATCACGCGTTGCTACCTATTGATTCATAAAAATGGCTTTTATGCATGTGCAGAAGCGTCATTTAAGGCGTAGTTTTTGAATTGTATGGAAGCCAGGGATA